TTATGAACGGAAGAAGAATCGGGCCAAGGCATGCCGCAAGGTGTTGAAGGAGCGCTTTGACACCCTGCTGAAGGTGTGTGGGGATCCGCACATTCGGCGATCGGACAAGGTGGGCTTGTTGACCCGCGCTATCGACCTCATCCTTGCCCTTCGGCGCCAAGCCGTGGCCCAGAAGGAGGGAGCATTGCGGCCTCCACTTCCGATGCAGCACAGGCCGCAGGTCTTCGGTCCCTGGAAGGGAGGAGAGGTTGGCTATTCGCTCCCTCCAGGGCAGAGCGTGCGCCCCCACAAACGCCTCTCCCGCAGCTCGACGCCGGGGTCCAGTCAGCAGGAGCCGAGGGAGGGCGAGGTAGAGGAAGGGACGGAGGGGCTTCAGAACGGGCGAGGCCGGGCCCGGAGGACATCTGTCCAGTGGCTCCCCGTCAACAGCTTCCACCCCCCTTGTCCCCCCCCGGGGGCCCTGGCACCGAGCCCATGCGCGTTGCCTGCCCCGTGGTGCGCCAGCGAAGGTTGGACAGGCCGCCAGCTTCTCCAGGAGTGCTTGGGCTCGCCTCAAGCTACCCGGACCCTCTTGGCTTGCCTGGACCCCGCCTCCCTGGAGACTTGTCGGGGCGTCGCGGCCTCTGCGTGGAAGTCTGTCGCCTCGGCGGACAGCCCCTGGAAGGAACTCTGCCGGCTCCGGTGGCAGATGAAGGAGGAGGCGATGGAGGAGATGTTTGTGGCGGCCGCAAAGGGGCGGGAGGAAGGGAAGGGATGGAAGGATGGAGCGTATGGGTGGCGGGAGGTTTACCTACACCATGCCCTCGCTCTGCGTCTGCCCCTCCTCCCCCGGGCCCCCGCCACGGACGCAGTGGAGGCACAAGGAGGAGCCACGGGAGTCTGTGGGTGGCTCTTGGCGGGCGAGTCCTCTTTCATTCCACTTCCGTCCCCCGCAGGGAGCGCGACGGGGCCGCAGGCGTTACTGTCCCTCCGTCTGGTGGTACAAAACGTGGCACAGGACGTGATAACGCTACCCTTCCAACGCTTCCAGGTTTGGGTCCGCGCAACACTGGGAGGCACCCGGGAGGAGGTGGAGGGCGAGGGGAAGGGAGCGAAGGAGGGCGCGGAGGAGGGCGAGGGCGAGGACAAGGACGAGGACGGGCTTCCTCGTCGGTCGATCTCGCACACGTCTTCCACGACCACGGCCACGTGTGGGAGCAGCGAAGAGGAAGGGGAAGAGAGGGAGGAACACAGGGGAGGGGTGGCGCTGCTGAAGGAGCCGACCATGACGCAACTGAAAAGCCGGGGATTGCACGCCGCCTCGTACCAATGCGCGTTGTTGACGGGCTCGGACGAAGCCGGGAAGGGGGAGGGAAGCCTACCGTGGTCGTGTTATGAGGGCGTGGGAGGATTGCGCATGACTTTGTTCGACACGGCCGTGCTGGCTTTCTACGTGCTGGTGCACGGCAATGTGGGGACGGCTTTGGGCGGGGTGCCTGGGGAACCGTGGCTGGGAAGGCGACAGCCGGCGAGGCTGCGTGCCGAGACGGTGAGGAAGTTGGCGAAGCAGCTGGAATTCACTGTCTACGTGCCGGAGAAGGCGGGGGGAAGGACGAAGGAGGGGAAGGACTGGATCGGGGAAAGCGGGGCAAGGGGGCCGCGCGTGGGCCGGGGGGGCGAGGAGTGCGAAGATGGGCTGGGAAGGAAGGTGGGAGTGACCCTGACGCCCGTCGAGGGCCCTGGTCGGCGTGAATGAGATGGAGGACTGGAGGGTGGGAGGTCGAGTAGACGGTGTCAAGGAAGGGAAAAGCGCCCAAGGAATGTTTTCAGAGAAGGGACGGGATGCCAGCAGAGGGCGGGGGCGAGGACGGAGAACCTCAAGGGGGACCACTGGATTGGGCAGAGTCATGAGGAGGGAAGACTGGATTCTAGGTGTTGGGATGGTATTCAAGGTGGGAAAAAGTAGCAGTGTGGATTGAGGAGGCGATGATGATTGTATGACGCAGGAGCCCGTGCGGCCAAGTAAATGAAAGCATCAAGGCGCACCCTGGCTTTTGTATGTGGGTCTCACGAAGGCCTGACGCTTCCTGCCTCGACAGTCACAGGCTTGGACCTTCAGACATGTCTATGCAGCAACCAAAGATGTGATGTTCTTTCCTCTG